CGAGCGGAGGCCAAGTGTTTTTAGGCATCCATGGGGCTGAGGAGTAAAAGTTTTGCGCACCTACGATTTTAAGACTTCGGCTAGATGCCAATTAGAGGAGTGAGGAGCTATTTTTAGGGGATCGGCTAGAGATGCCTAATATGCCTAATAGCGAGCTGGGTCTAGCTCAAGTGGTTCGGTTTCTGTTGGTGCAATTATCTGCTCAACTGGACTTACCGCCTTGATATTTCTTTCCTTTGGCTTTGTATATACTAGATGTCTTTGTGACATCTTGTAGGTGCAGAGACCGAGTGTAATTAGTACCTCCGTGATATTAATAAATTCCCATAAAAAACTCCTAAACTTCGCGGGCGCGAAGGTGCACATTGTGTTTTTAAAAGCAAAGCGAAGGACACTCGCTCGTTTTATTACAACACACAAGCGCCCAAATCCACTGACACCACACATCCATTGCTAAACACACAAGGAAGCGCGCGCCGCGCACACACACTTGAGCTACCATTGGCAACTTATTAATCGACCTCTTACATGTTGGCAGCGTGGCCCTCGTCGTTAGCTGTCTCGATGCCCTCGGCACGCGTGTTGGGTACGGCGCAGTTCAGCCGTATCTCGCCCTGGCTGCCGGTGAGCACGTCCATATAGCTCATCTTCACCATGGAGTGGGCAAACTCATCGAAGAAGAAGAGCTGGTTGAGTGCGAACTGTGTGGCCATGCCTTTTGTGTCTGGGTGGTCGATGAGGCCCTGGTCGGACTTGAGCAGCCCACGCCTGGTGATGAGGTCGGTGTAGTACAAGTTGTCAAACACCTTCGGCGTGAGCCCGTCGAGTGCTTGGGTTACGGTGCCCTCCGGGACATCCTTGGCGCACTTGGCCTGCAACATCTTGGCGAACTTGGGGCCGATGGCCGGGTTGGCGTCGATGATCGGCGTGAAGCGGTCGGAGAAGGAGGGGCAATGGGCGACACCAAAGGTGTGCGCGCCGGAGAGCGCCACCAGGTCGGCCACACCAAGGCTCCGGTTGCCGAAGGAGCTGATGAGGGTGGGCACATCAAAGGATGGCGCTGGTAGAGCCAAGACGAGGTCCGCCGACGCCGGGGTAAGCCCGTCGCGACGGCCCAAGGGAAAGTCGATGTAGGGCCCTCCAGCCTGGATCCAAGAACCAACGCGTATTCGTACATGGTAGTTAGTTATGTAACCATTGTTTGAGCAATAAAGACTTGGCTTTTCCAAAAAAAAAAACAAGTTAGTAGTAGTTATGTACTTTCTCTGTAAATTAATAGAGTGTTTAGAGCACTTCTACTAATGATCTAAACATTTTTATATTAGTTTACGGAGGGGTAACTGGTTTTGTCATTTTTCATATTCCTTCCGTCCCAAAATAAGTGTCTCAAGACTCTCAACTTTGTATTAAAATGTTGTACTAAATTTAAGACACTTATTTTATGATGGAGGGAGTATGATTGAGAATATCTATCTTTCCAAGTCCACGCTATGAACAACTCGATCTACACAAGAAGAGTTGGAGAGGGTTGATAATGGCTATCTATGTAAGTCCACGCCAAGAACCATTCGATCTAGCGATGACTAGTTGGTTTCATCTTTCATGTCCGTGTGTTTGTGGCAGCCAAGTATATATACCTGCAGGAGGGCGTCCCTGGTGGCGAGGACGGTGACATCGGCACAGGAGACAGTCCGGGGGCAGGTGGCTTCGACGCCGGCGTGGATATCGTCGATGAGCTTGAGCGCCATCGGCCGGAGCGTCAGGTTGGGCCCCAACGCCTGCTCACTGTTGTTCCCCGTAAGGAGTACCGACGCGTCGCAGCCCTGCAACAGTAAAATACCAAGTACATATGTACTACCTCAGTCTCAAAATTTGTACTATACAAACTTGAGACACTTATTTTATGATGGAAGGAGTAGTACATTTCATCTTTGTACATATAGTATGTAGAATTTTGTTCTTTCCCTTTCATTAGTTCTAGTTCTTCTGGAGTCTAGTCGTTTTCTTCCTCATGAGAAAAAATAATACTCTCCCTCCGTAAAGAAATATAAGAGCGTTTACGGAGAGTACATACAAACACTCATAGAATAGTACGTACATACATACCTGTGGGAAGCAGTCGTGGAAGAAGATGCGGACGAGGGCCGGTGCGACGCCGGGGTCGCGGCGGAAGGCCTTGGCTACGTGGGACCTCACAATCTGCCCCAGTTGTGGGCACGACATTGCGTAGAAATCCGGCGAGAGCCCCTTGGCGGCGGCCGGTGAGGAATGGACGGCGAAGGCCAAGGCTAGGACGACGATGGTCGCTGCTGCCCTGGAGGACTTCATCTCCGATTCTTCCACCTACAACGGTCGTGTGGCTTCGTCAAGCAAAGCTAGCTCCATGCTAGCTATTTATGATGAGTAGGTGTCGGTCAGATCTCTCGGTGCAAGCAGCTAGCTCGATCTGATCCGCGACAAGTCGCAGAGATATGCTGTACTTATAACAATAGATAATTCAAGAACAAATCGCAGAGATCACGGATCCACGTGTGCTGCATGCGATCGAGCTAGCCACTCCATATCTTTCCTCCAGTACTATAATACTCAACGTACTATCCATGCGTTTCACCTGTCCTACATGCCTGGCTACCCAATAACATTGCCGGCTAGAGCTTGAGATCTTGCGTCCGTAATGTAATGTTTTTTCTAGAGAAAATGGGCCATAATTAAGGCCCCGGTTTTATTGAAACAATGAAACCAGAGTAACCCACACATCAATCTTACATTACAAGCATACGGGCCCCAGCAAACATAGTAGTAGCAGAGGAGGGACTCTCGCCAAACTCTCCAGTCTCGCCACCATTGCAGCTGACTGTTCTTTTGCTTCAACAATGGTGAACGCTGCAACACATTGATGTTATTGTGAGATCAGGGCTGCCAAATCCAAAGATCATGTGATGCAACTACTTCAAGAATGATGGTTGACTTCTTACATGGCCCTGATATTGCCACTACAAAGCTTTTGGACAGTTCTTCCATTTCCAATGCATGCACTCAAGAGATCCGAGCAAACCTGACCATCCTCTTGCTTCCAAGATTGCCAAGAGCCTCTCGGTGTCTGCAACATTTGGTTCTCTCAGGTATTGAGATACAAGCACCGAGACCACGACAGTTGCAAACCTAACCATGACATCTCCGCATGTGCTCTCAACATCCGTAGGTACTTGTCCCATGAATCAGCGGCTGTGCCATATGCAAGCATCCGCAGTGTGGCCATGCCAATCCTTCCGATGGCGTCCTTCTTCAAGATGAGGAAGTCATCGAAGAGCCGGACCCCATGGTAGAGACGATCGAAGACATTTTTGTGCATCCGAAACCGCCGGCGAAAATTGTCAGGAAGAGTGCATCGTGGGCCAAGTTGTTGGACATTAGCGCGTCCTGTTGCGGTTGAGCAATCGACGACCCTTGATCGATCCCTTGAAATTGAGAACATGATCTTCCACACGCTTCACGTCAGCAAGGACTGCCTGCATCATCACTATCTCATCCATGTAATTCTCCTCGTCGGACGAGCCATCAAAGGACTCAACATAATGCTCGTGCATGTACTCCATATCCGAATCCATTGCCTCAAAGAAGAAGGGCCAAGAAATTTTAGCACGGGCATTTCACATAACAGTTCCCAGGCATGGTGAGTACCATAGGATCTGATGGTACCTACGCGGCCGTCGGAGTAGAGGTGCGGAAGGACGGCGGAGGATAAGCGGCTTGGAACCTGGCTGTACCGCTGCAGGTGACGGACTCGTCGAGTACCGGCAGGGGTGTGCCGGGGCGGCCGGGGTGATAGAACAGCGGCGAAGGCAAGAGAGGAAAAGGGAAGGAGAGAAAATGGGAGGATGGTGGCGCGGAGTCCTGGAGGAGTTTCAGTGGGATTTTCGGTGGGCCAGGGATGTTGGAGTTCTACGTGTCTGTTGTCCGGATTCCCGTAAAGCCGCCTTGTTTGTATCGGGTTTGCTGGAAAAAGTATGCCTGGATCGATTAGCGGATCGATACAGGCCCGCGTTGGATGACACATCCGGACCGCGCCATATGTGGACGGTTTAAGGGTCGGCTTTGGAGGTGCCCTAAGAGAGCATCTCCAATGATACGCTCCATAGCCGCCGTTCCATTTGTTCGGATGGACACTCGCTCCTTGGTTGCGCTATGTCACGCCGCATTTGGGCTCTAGCAGACCCAGATTTGGTCGAAGCAATGAAGACATGAGAGAGCATGTTGCAAAGAGATGGAATTTTTTTTGCACTCACTGCATTTTCTGTCGCATGTTGATTTCGTGACCATTCTGGTTACACTTTGGGCAAATGGCATTCCTGATGCAAGGCAATTCACGAGCATGATTTTCAGATCCCCCGATATACCCGTATTTTTATCCAGTTTCATGGGCGATCTCTGTGCATTACAGAAGGTATCTCCTGTTCAGGAGCAACCGGTTCGTGCTCATGTTGTGAGTGTTCGCTGGTTTTGAAAAAAAAACAAAGTGGACAGAGGAGTCTTGAACTTCAAATATTGACTCCTTTAGCACTGTTTACTCGGATGGAGATTATTTTTGAAGGCATCAAGATTTTATTTCTCAAATAATCAAAAGGTCATTTACATGGGAATAAGAAATAAAATCAGGGAATGTGGAGTCTTCAAAAATTTAGAAGTTCTTCCACTAAAGGTTTACTTTGCAGAATCATTAGCAACTGCATTTGCTTCATGCAGACAGTGGGTGTACGAGACCTTCGAAAAATTCATTGCTAGCTCCTTACATTCGAGCATAGTTGCCACGTCCGAGCCCACATAATGTTCAGCTTGTTGCACTGCCTCTGCTGTAAAATTGCAATCTGTTTCGATATCAACTTTGTTGCAACCAATTTTTCCTGCTAGCTATAACCCATTCCTTACGTCTGTGATCTCTGCCGAATCAACACAGCTGGTTTGTGGGAGAAACCAAGTTGCTGCAGCTATGAAATTTCCTCTTCCATCACGGGCAACGGCACCTATCGCACCCGACAGTGTTTCAAATTGGAAAGTTGCATCTACATTGATCTTGCTGACATTAGGACATGACTTCTTCCACATTTGATCTTCCTTCCTTGTCAGCTGCTTTGATGAGTAAGCTCTAATGTAGTTCGTCGCAAGGACTTTAACTGAGACTGCAGATCTGTCTGGGTTTTGGATAGTTTCTCCTTTCACATATTGCCGGCGTTGCCACCAAATATACCATGATGCTACCATCACTAGCTCAGCCATTTGCAAACCCTCATGGACTGAACAATTCCTGGCCAAAATCTCCAAACATGACCGACCCCGAACTATCCCCTCGTACTGCGTTTGCTATGATTTCATGTAATCCAAGTTTAACCAGATTTCTTTCGCCCGGCGGCAATTGAAGAGGTCATGTTGGACGTCCTCAACTCCAATCTTACAGATCGGGCATTGTGGGCTTAGAGATATGTTCCTATCCGCCAAGATTCCCAAGCAAGGGAGTGATCCGTTTGGAGCTTTCCATGCAAAGTGCTTGATTTACGCGGATGGAGATGACACATACCTCAGATCTTCAACTATAATTTGTCCACGAGTTACTGATCCCGCAACCCTTGAAACCTTGGCATGGTGGGAAGTTCTGTCTTTAGCATCCGATTTGTAGCCTCGAAGCCTTGCCACGATGGGAAGCTATGCCTTTTAGCTTCCGATCTGTAGCTGAACCAAATTATCATAGCCTCGGACTGTAATTTAGTGGGTGGAGACATCGCTGCTGGCTAGGGAGGCAGAGACAGAAATATCACTCGTGAAATCAGGTTGATGGCATCTGAGTTTCCTGCTTGCTCTTTCGTATTTGAAGGGAGAGCAGAGACACATAGCCTCAGTAAATTCGCTTAAGTTTTTTTAAAGGACGACATGTTTGGTTCCTTTAGCCTCCTGATCATGATTGTATCCCTGTAAACATTATTGTCAATCATTAGCAAATATGCCCGTGCGTTTGGGATAGGAGAGAAAAAATCACATACTCCTAGCATAATAAGCACGACTCAAGATCCCCTTTGCATGTCCATGTTATCTATTTGAACATAGCGCCTCATCCATGTTATGGTTTATCCTTCTTCCCGCCTTCACCGAGCATGGTCACAGTGTCCACCTAATCGCAATGCGTCCGAAATATGGTCAATCCCAAGGTGATGATCTTGACCACCACACTCTCACCTGTCACTGAACCACCCCATCACAAGTGAATGTCTAATAGATTAATGGTTCACACTGATGTTCCAGTCGATAACAAGAAATTATGGAAGCTCAAAATTCCCATAAGAGTGAAGATATTCCTCTGGTTTCTAAACAGAGGGGTCATCTTAACTAGAGATAACCTGGCACGACGCAACTGGCAAGATAGCAAGACATGTGTCTTTTGCCAACATGACAAGTCCATCAAACACTTTTTCTAGTGTAAGTTTGCTCGTGCAATCTAGGCCATAGTTCAAGTAGCTTCAAATCTATATCCCTCACGTTGTGCATGTAACATGTTCGGTAATTGGTTGCAGAGTATCGCTAAACAATTTTCTGCACATCTACTCGTGGGGGCGGCTGCTTTATGTTTGGCATTGTGACTTACCAGGAATGATGTGATTTTTAAGAGTGAATTCCACTTTTTACTCCTTAGTTATGCATTTTTGACACTAATTACCCTGTCGAATGAAAAATCGTCAAGATTACCCCTTTTAAAAGCTTTGAAACTTTTTTTATGCGTGTCTATTGGGCAAGATGTAAGGTGTTGACTAGAGTTTAAAAATATCAAGACGAGGAGGAGGATTTGAACATATGGGTAAGAGAAATCTGAACATGAATATCGATTATGCCCTCAGATCTTTACGCATTTTACCGTGCCATGTCGGCGTAACATGCCGGTACTATCTAACAGAAACAAGCAAAGTGCTAAACTGGGGTAAAACTGTGTTCAAAATCTTCTAAATGAAATATTTGGTAGAAGTTGCACTAAATAGGGTAATATGTGTCACAAATGCAGAACTACAGAGTAAAAAGTGGAATTCACTCGATTTTTAACAATAAATGTGTTTCATCTCCTGTGCAGGTTATTCATGCGTATACGCGATGGTTTCGTACGTGGTCTATCCTGCAGAGGCCGGAGGACAGAGCCCTTTTTTTGACGGCGTCTACACGGCTGGAGCATACAACCAGGAAGATTTTCTCCCTACACGGATGGTGGTGTAATCTTTGGATAGGATTTGCCCCACCCTATGCTGGACTGATTTACTTTTGCTGTAAAACGATCTTTATTTTAGGGTACTTGG